TTAATTGTTGGTGTATTATTTTGAGTATCAAATTTAAATTATTATTCACTGAATTCTGATTGATCATTTTGGCGTTGAATTTAACATTCAAACGGCAAATTGCCAACGAATATGTACTTGTATACAAGTATATCCATAATTCATTAAGGGCATTTGTAGAGTAGAGTTCGGAATATCACTAGTATTATGGTACTAGCGGGTTTGAACGCAATTAAATTTTTCAGTCAGAATATTGCTCTGACACATTTCTGAATGTTACATATAATAATTTTCTAACAAGTCTTTAATATTGAAATATGTTCTAACATATTTTTTAAATCAAAATGTTACACCAGCTGGGGTAGCTTAAAAATTGGCACCAAAATAATAGTAATCTGTTGTTGGAAGTTGTTATTATTAAATAAGATTTTGTAAATGAAATGAATGACCTTTAGTTAAAACCTTCATTATTACCTTAAATTTTTTAAACTGAATTAATAAACACTTGCTGATGTTTACTATTACTATATATACACTTTAAAGATTTTAAAATGGCTTTAGTAATCTCTAATTAAAGGTTGATCTATTTTCCTTTTCTAATGGCTGTCATTATTATTTTGGCTTAAAAGACACAATACTCCCATAATTCAACACCAAACAGTTTTGAAAAATATCTTACCGTAGTTTCCCTTGCCGTCTATAAGTTCAAACCAAGTACTGCTTTTACACAAATCATGTCTTCGAAACAATTTACCGTCGTTGTTGGCATTTCAGTCTAAGGAAGACAATTTACAAGAAAATTCAGTATATTTACCTAAATACATATATTTAAATAAACAGGGTGACATTATTTAAAAAGCTTAAAACTCAAGAACACCTGAACCGCTATCGATGACCTACGAAAATTCCCGAAAAAGTCTCGAGCAAAAAATTATAACAAAGCTCTACAGTGCCTACATTATGACTTTATTCATGAAAGTATTGAACGAGCTTTTGGCTTTATGATAATTGTGTCTCGAATATTTTATTAACTATCCACTTGTAAGTAATAAATATTTAGCTTTCCAGTCATGTATATGGTTCTGATCTTTATCTTTAGGTTCCTTACCGAAAATATGAGTAAAATTATGAGAAAAGAGTTAAGATATTATTAAAAATCAAACGCTAAGGTATTTAGAATTACAGTCTACAAAATGTCCTGTTTCATTCAATGAAAATTTAGCTTTGTTTCAAAAGTACACATTTACTACTCAGAAACAATGACGCGGCCAAATACCCAGATATCGGTACAGTCTACCAATGGATGTTAACTTTATGTTCACTTAATGTGTTTGGTGTACCTTATTTTGAAGTCATCAAATTTTAAATTATTAATTCATAGTGAATCTGAATGATCCGGTGGCAACACTTCAAGCTCTTAAGCTGTAATTTTTTAGCTGTGTACATTTGTGTTTTTATTTTAAAAAATTCTTGAAGTTTAACTGATTTTTATTACCGTGTTAATACAAATTTTTAGTGATTAAACTCTCAGTTTCATGATAAGTATTAAATGTTCTGTTTTTGCGGTATTAAAAAGTTTAAACTTTCCAATTTTTGGTGCCGAGTCAGCCTTTCTTTCATTTTGTTTTATTTTATTCTATTTTCTCTCTTTGTTTATCTTATTTACTTCTTTATTCACAGCTGTGTTGCGTTTAGCTTTTTATTTGTTACAGTGCTTCTAAAACTGCTCGCTATATTGCTTCTTCAAATTGTCTTGGTTTTAAACTTTGATAAAAAAAATTGTTCTTAATTGAATTTATTATTATTAATATTTTATTAACACACTAATTTATTATTTATCTATTAAATTTTGTTCTACTTACTCTTTTATTTGATATTCATTCTTGTGGTTTATTATGTCTTGTAACTTCCCCAATTGTAACATTAAAGGCGAGTCAGATCGCTACGTTTCATGCTGGCTTTGTGCTGGGCTTGCCCATATTAAATGTGCTGGACTAACTGGTAGAATCTTAGATTCTATTCTCTACTGTAAGGGATTGCGTTGGTCCTGTTTAAATTGTAGATCTATTGAAATCGATCTATTTAAAGTTTATAGAGAGACACGCAATGGCTTTAACGAAATCGGTCGTGATCTTGTAACTCTCACTGAAAATTTTAGGCACTATGAAAAATTGTTCAAATCTTTTAAGTGCCTGCATGATTCTCACGAATCCTCTAAACCTGCTCCTAAGCGTAAACGTCCTTCCGATGAAGTAACACTTAGTTCTTATGTTCAGAAAAGAACGTCTCCTCCCAATGACCTAATAAATCTCTCTTCTCCTTTCCCTCAAGGTGATAAGCCGTCAACTTCCAAAGAGCTCAATTCCCCAAAAGCTCTATCTAATAGTAATAAGTGTCTCACAATTCCAGAGGCTCCCCCTATTAACTTAGTAGCATCAGTTAATAATTTGATAGTTATTCCACCTAAAAAGTCTATATATATTTCGAGACTTGCCAAAGATACCTTGGTGGAGGACATTAAATCTTACATTCCGTCACGTTTAAAAATCGATGATATCAATATATGTAAATTTAACTTCAATTATGATAGAAGTATATCATCGTTTAAAATAGACGTATCTCTTGAAACATTCAAAAAGATCTTAGATAGTTCATTCTGGCCACCTGGGGCTTTTGTACGCGAATTTAAACCTAAACTTAGAAGTCAAACTGAGGAAAACATTGTTAAATTACCAAAAGCAACCACCGATATAAAAAACTGATTGGTAGAATTCGCTAAGCATTTATTATCAAAATGTTAGAGGTCTTAAAACAAAATTAACTGACTTGTATTTCAACAGTTCCAATTTTAATTTCCATATAATTGGATTTACAGAAACTTGGTCAAAACCTCACATTTTTGATTTTGAGCGAATTTCAAATTTTTAGATGTGATCGACTGAACAGAATCGATGGAGGTGTTCTATTTGCCGTGCATTCCTCTATCCCATCTGAAAATATTCTTGTTCCAGGGACCGACTCATTTGAATTTAAATGTATTAGAGTATACGTTAATAGTTGCTTTATTTATTTAACCTTATTTTATATACCACCCCATTCGGACTTATCTGTATGCATGCAGCATGCTTCTTTAATAAATAGTGCTACCTCGATGGCAAATAATGCAGATTCAATAATTGTATTAGGTGATTTCAATTTACCGTGTGCTTCGTGGAAACCTTTCGATGACTATATCGTGCCGATTTGCAGTCGGTCATGTTTTAATGAGTTTTTCGAAAAAATGTCCGAGTTGGGTCTGAACCAAATTAATTTGATTCCGAATAAATTTGGTAAATGCTTAGATTTAGTATACGTTGAGCCTTTAAACATTTAAAAAAAACCGGTTCACTTGTCGACTATTCTAAATATTCTCTATTGCGTCGACAATATTTTGACCTAAACAAAAAATGTTATAATAATTACTTAAATAAAGTAAACAAAAATATTGTAAGTAATCCAAAATCGTTTTATGATTTCGTCAACTCCAAACGCGGGATTTCCAAATTTCCGTCCGCAATGAAATACAAATCTCTCATTCAAGTGACAATGATATTACATCCAATATGTTTGCAGAATTTTTCAAGTCAAACTACTGTAATAATTCTTCCAAAACTTTTTCTTATCAGCAAGTGCTGTGTTCGAATACTTTAATTAACGCTCCAATTATTTCTGAAGAAGACGTCCTATTTAATTTAAATAAGTTAAAACCATCTTTTATTTATGGCCCAGACATGATACCCTCATGCTTCCTAAAAAATAGTGCCAAATATATTTACTTGCCTTTGACAAGGATATTTAATTCCTCTCTTAAACATGGTATATTTCCTTCAATATGGAAACAGTCATTTATAATCTCTTTGCATAAAAGTGGATTTAGATCCAACATTGAAAACTATAGAGGTATCGCAAAACTATCAGTTATACCTAAACTTTTTGAAGCTATCATCACTGACCATATAACCTTTTTGATTTCTCCGTTAATTTCCTCATCTCAGCATGGATTTCGTAAAGGGAACTCGACTATATCAAACTTACTTGAATTTGTAAACCATGTATCATTGGGTTTTAGGGAACATAAGCATACGGATGTTATAAACACGGACTTTAGCAAAGCTTTCGATAAAGTAAATATCTCGATTCTCATACATAAACTTGATCTGCTGGGCTTTCAGCCAAGATTCCTTCAATGGGTATCTTCCTATCTTTATAATAGAACACAACGAGTGATATTTGAGGATACACCTTCAGATACAATTAATGTTTCTTCTGGTGTTCCGCAAGGTAGTCATCTTGGCCCGATTCTGTTCTTGTTGTTTATTAACGATATCTCTTCAGTAATAGAATTCTCAAAAATTTTATTATACGCTGACGATGTAAAGCTTTTTAAATCATACACTTCAACTGAGGAAAGGTGTCTGTTGCAAACAGACTTAAACAATTTGGTTGCATGGTGTGATAGAAATGATTTGCCATTGAATCTCAATAAATGTAAGACGATGTGCTTTTTTCAGTCAGAATATTACTCTGACACATTTTTGAATGTTACATAATTTTCTAACAAATCCTTTAATATTGGAATATTTTCTAACACATTTTTTAAATCAAAATGTTAGACAACCTGGGGTAGCTTAAAAATTGTTATTATTCAATTAGATTTTGTAAATGAAATGAATGACCTTTAGTTAAAACCTTCATTATTACCTTAAATTTGTTTAAACTGAATTAATAAACACTTGATGAAGCTTACCATTACTATATATACACTTTAAAGATTTTAAAATGGTTTTAGTAATCTCTAATTAAAGGTTGATCTATTTTCCTTACTTAATGGCTGTCGTTATTATTTTGGCTTAAAAGACAAAATACTCCCATAATTCAACGCCAAACAGTTTTGAAAAATATCTTACCGTAGTTTCCCTTGCCGTCTATAAGTTCAAACCAAGTAATGCTTTTACACAAATCATGTCTTCGAAACAATTTACCGTCGTTGTTGGCATTTCCGTCTAAGGAAGACAATTTACAAGAAAATTCAGTATATTTACCTAAATACATATATTTAAATAAACAGGGTGACATTATTTAAAAAGCTTAAAACTCAAGAACACCTGAACCGCTATCGATGACCTACGAAAATTCACAAAAAAGTCTCAAGCAAAAAATGATAACAAAGCTCAACAGTGCCTACAATATGACTTTATTCATGAAAGTATTGAACGGGCTTTTGGTTTTATGATAATTGTGTATCGAATCTATTATTAACTATCCACTTGTAAGTAATAAATATTTAGCTTTCCAGTCATGTACATGGTTCTGTTCGCTATCTTTACTCCTTACCGAAAATATGAGTAAAATTATGAGAAATGAGTTAAGATATTATTAAAAATGAAACGCTAAGGTATTTAGAATTACAGTCTACAAATTGTCCTGTTTTACGCCAAGAAAATTCAGTCCCGTTTCAAAAGTACACATTGACTTCTCTGAAACAGTGATGCCGCCATATACCCAGATATCGGTATAGTCTACGAGTGGATGTAAATAAGAGGGTGAAACATCTACAGCAGAGTTTTTTTCTCAAACTAAACTCAGTGATTTTATATTCGATCAAGATAAGAATGACAAAACATTTTGTTAAAATAAGAGACGTGCGGAAGAGTTGAAAGAGGGAATATTTAATGGTAATCAAATACGGCAAATAACGACAGATACAGATAACACCAAAGTTATAACTGTTGAAATAAAATTAATAACCACTAGTTAAGGGTTTCCATTATTGGATTTTTTTAAATGACTTTAGTAATCCCCAATTAAAGGTTGATATTATTTTCTTACTCACAGGCTCCCATTATTAGCTTGGCTCATAAGATAAAATAATAATTCCACAGCCTATAGATGTTAAATATGTCTTACCGTAGTTCCCATATCCGTCTATAAGTTCGATCCAAGTAATGATTTTACACAAATCATATATTCGAAATTATTTACCGTCGTTGCAGGCATTTCAGTCTAAGGAAGACAATTTACATGAAAACTGAATATAACCATAAATATATATATATATATAAATATATATAAAGAGAGTTACGTTATTTAAAGAGCTTATAACTCACGAACACCTGGACCGATATTGATGACCAATGAAAGTTTGCAAAAATTGTAAGGTGGAATATTTGGTGATCCTCAAATACAACAAATAATGGGAGAAAATTAAGCTTGGAAAATTTTTGTGTCCGTAGTCAAAAATTTGTTAGGCAAACAGTGAGAATTAAATTAAACAAACTAACAGATTAAAGTTATTTCAAGAAAACAATTTGTATATCAAGTTAAAGTACAAGTATCTCCGTAATAATCTGGATAAATTGTAAGATTTTTTTGGAAATTATAAGAAGTAAGAGGGTGTAACAATCTGGATAAATTTTAGGATTTTTGTGGAAAATATAGTAAGTAACAGGGAGAGCGGTTCAACTAAAATGAAAAGTGACGGAAAAAAGGTATCAATGCTCATGGGATCGCCGCATGATGTCAGATTATTGCTCGATCTTAAGAAAGGATTGCGACTGAAAAATTACAAAAGAAAAGTTCACCAAAGGCATTTTATTGAAATGTAATATATATATTCGATTTCGATGCATCTTTATTTTTCAAAACCAAACTAACATTACGAACAGTTGTTTCATATTTTTTGATTTTTGTAGAGTAAAATAAAACTAAAGATTCAACTATGAAAGAAGAATCTGTTGACACAAATATAACCAAAATTGATTTTACACCTAAGGCAACAAAACCGCTGTAGACCAACGTAGTGTTTAAAAATTATTTGTTGCGTAAGTTACCAACAAATGGTAATTTCACAGATGTGAGTTCAGTTTGATGAAGTTCAATGTTATTTTCTTAGTGTTTGGGTGCGATCGACAATCAATCCAAGTGTTAACTGTATGCACAATTAATTGTTGGTGTATTATTTTGAATATCAAATTTAAATTATTATTCATTGAATTCTGATTGATCATTTTGTCGTTGAATTCA